GGTAGAACGAGAAGTCAATATAAGAAATTATATGCTCGTACCACTAAGTACAAAAATTCTACAATACCGTATTTAGCCCGTATTTTATGTGATGAAGACTCTGTTAGACGTGAAACATATAAGTTACTATGTAATTAGCATAGTGAATCGACCTTTTCATCGTCCATCTTTCTGTAATTTTATGGTATCACCCTTTCCATCGTTTAGTTATAACTTAGTGATTTTATTTTAGTTGTTATTACTATTATTACTACAATTTTATACTTTATGCATATTTTTCTCCGTATTGCATACAGAAATTTGTGAAATAGCTGATATAACAATTATTATTATTATGTAATGTTTATTTTGTATATTGTATTTTTTGTCGTTTTTGAGTAAATTAGATGCAATATTGTACTGAATGCTGAAAATTCCTCGCTGTATCATTAGTACTGTTTTTGGAATAAAGCAAATTATTATTATTATTTGTCTCCCAATGTATCTCTAATATATATATATATATATATATATATATATATATATATATATATATATATATATATAACTGTATGTAAAGTGTTCAGCTGAAGAGAAACCTAAGAATATTTCGTAGATTCATTAAATTCTGCTTTGATAATATTTGTTGTTTGTTTTAAATCCGTATCAGGAAAAACATATTTCTCTATCTAAATAAGTAAGCAAATATTAAAAACTCATCAATCTTTTAACTAGAGATAAAGTTTTGTTTTTTGTTTGTTTGCAAACACTTACTCTCCTTACTGTATGAACACATTCAAATTGTTGTCTGTTGTCACTCATCAGGTTTTTCAACTGTAGACCATAGAAACCAGTTGATTAGGTTGCTTGCAGGCTTCTGCTAGAAATAATGCCCATGATTGTTTTGTAGCAGTCAATCCTGCCAGACCTGAGTTCTAGCCACAATACTTGGCCACCAGATTACGTGGTCGAGGCTGAACTTAACACCATCATAACTACCGAGGGGAGAATATAACACTTAAAGCTTCTGAAAGATTTATTTTTTGACGATGATTTGGAGAGAGTGTATAATTAAATAGTCATATCTAAACGAAGCTACCGAGCTCTTGTCCCTTGAAAATTATATTGACCATCACCTCTTTCAGTCCGCATGGATCAACAAAGTGATCACTGAGGATGAAACAGCCGAGGTTCAGTTAAGTTGACGAACCTCTACAGTGGTATCATATAAGTTCTCTTCACCTCTTTGTGTGTTGTATCAAGGTCAGATGATTCACAATGATGCATTTCTATGCAAGTTTTTACATAGATATATCCAACAAACATGGCTAAAAAGTAGAAGTCATCTCTTTCTCAAAAGGCGTACTTGCATTCTCTTGGATGATGCAAATGTTACAGTAAGGACTGAAAAAGTAACCTCAAATTTTGTAACACAACCGTTTTAGATGGAATAAAGTAAGATTAAGTCGTTTGATCATCAGGAATCTCCTAGTGCTAGATAAAATGCGACCAACACGTGGGAATATCTTCAAATTTTTTTTATTACTTATCTACAGCAATTATGTGAAGAAGAATATACTATATCATGGCACAAAAATTCGGTTATAAACTACCATTATGCTTAAACCACTCGGCTGCACTTAAATTTCCATCCAAAAATAATTCAATTCACCTACTTTTCATAGTTCCGCATTGTTTTAATCTACCAATTATGCCTTTGGATCGCAATATAAACCCATACAAATTTTTTAAACTGGCTTCCACCCTACTGCTGTTCCCTTCAAGATGAAAAAATGGAAGAAATAATGTCGTAGGGGATCAAGTCTGGTTTCAGATGGAATGAATCTGCATTGTACGACATATACTGCTTAAAACTTAGGCTACTAAAAACCTCCATCAATATACTGCACACATTTTCTCCTGTCCACTTTGTTTTAATCGACTAAAATATGATCACCAATGGTGATATTTACCCTCGCGAGTATTTAAAGCGTTTACAACCTGCTGATTTGCCAGTTTTTATGAAACTTGAGAAAAAGCACAATCGTAGGGAGGGGAGAGATAGCGTGTAACATATCCAAATATAAGAGATAACTGTCCCCGCGTCATGTCCTTGGTTCTCAAAATGTATTCCTGAACTTTTTACAGTTGGCTATCCACTTAATGTCGTGGATTTCTCTAGGGAGAGAAAGAAGAGATAGCTTAGTGGATTTGTTTACACCCTAGGTCAGAGAGCATTGTGTCACACGACCTACTGTCAGTTGATATTTCATCTGAAGATCCTATGAGAAGAGGAAATATCAGGCAATAAATTCCGTTGAAAATTCTACACATTGTATAAAAACTGTTCACAATAAAGCTATTATTATTATTACTGTCGATAAATATTTAGGTGACGATTCTATACGGGGAGTAAATATTTTGCAAGAAAATTTACGCCGAGAATTCTGGACTGTTTGTAAACATGATTTCCAGAATATAAAGCGGATATTATCATTAAAATATCTACCAAAATTTCGTTGCACTATAGTCAGCACAGTTGCCGTTTAGCCTTAGGTGTTGATTAAAACCTATCAATCATGAGGGTAATTAAAGTCAACAACTTGAACGGCACAACAAGTTATTGTATTTTGTTTTGATTTGTGGTATCAAGAGTTATGCTGAAAGGAGATCATGTATTCAGCTCTTCATGCTTGCTTAACATCTGTCTCTGTCTGTCTGGATTCAACATAGAACTTGGCACCGATGTGCAGCAGTTCGAGTTGCGACGTTTCAAATAGCACACAAAGGTAGACAGGAAAATGAGTGAAGAGAATCAATAGAGTTTTGACAAGTATAAGAGTGAAACATAATGAGTAATGGTAGACAGGAATATGAAAGATTACAGAGACTTAATACATCTGCGCTAGCCATTGACAACGATTTTGAGCCATGTCACCTATTGTCTCCAACCATTGTTTCTTAGAGTCCCGAGGGCCCCAACCCGGAAGTCTGCATTTCCCTACCTGACTCTTGCTTAACATAGACATAATATTTATTCGAACTCACGTTATCCTGTGAATTTGAACCATCTTTCAGATAACTTATAACGTAAATAGTTTCGCCCTATAGTCATTAATTTTTGGCGGTTATCAACTCAAAGGAAACGCTAATTTCAACAAAGGTTGCAAACACTCTTAAACGAATCAAAAGTTACGCCCACAGCTATCCTAGGAGTAGATCACTGACATCAAAAACACAAAATAGTAGAAAGCAGGAATGAGTAATATGCATTGCCTAAACCTAGTACTAATCCAATGGAGTATTTATTATGAAAATAGTTATGTTCTACTCCTCGTTAGATAACATCCCAAACTTCGATTACAAATAATATTCAGAAAATAAGATATAAAATAATATCTCTAGCGACAGAGTATACTTTCACTACTCATAATTTATCCTTCTCACTGAAATGATAAACACATACGTCAAGATGAATTCGCCTCAGATTGACATCCAATAAACATTGCTCTCCTGGTTGAAGTCTCATCTGGTTCACGTTATAATGTAAAGAGAGAAACAATAAATTATTACGCAGACAGTAATTACAACAGTTACAATGCCGCCAATGTCACCAAAAGCACTTCCAAGTGACTTCAGACTTTTATCAACAACTGTCTTTGCTGGCTCAGGCAGCAAGGAGCCCTATAGCTTAACAAATATGCGGAAGGAAAACAGAGTTAAATTGAACAGACGCTGAGAAGCCTGTTGAATGATATAATGGGCTGGGCTCTCGAGTGGAACCCGAATGGGAAACGACGAGTAGCGTGTCCGAGGGTGAGATATACGGGAGATCTGGTGAGGAGAAGATAAGAGCTAACAGGCATCCGTAGACCCAGGTATAGACGACTCCAGAGAACAGAATGAAATAGAAATGTGCTGTTGAACCCCCATGCGTTCCACTCGGAATCTATGGGAATAATAATATGTAAATAATAAAACATAATAATAGTAATTTCCTGGCTGCAGGATTGGACTTCACCGACCCCTAGATTAGAAATAGGAAGTGAAGTGGTAGAGCACGTTGACCGCTTCACTTACTTGGGAAGGACCATCAGCCCCAACGGGTTGATCTCCGACGAAATCTCAGCACGAATATAGAGGGCTAGTTTCGCATACGCCAGTTTACGCCGTCTCTGGCGTAGACGTGACATCCATCTATCGACCAAAGGGCGTGTGTACTGGTCAACAGTCCGCTCCGTCCTCCTTTATGGCTGTGAGACCTGGCCATTGAGAGCAGAAGACATGAAAAGATTAGCTCTCTTCGATCATAGGTGTCTGCGTTCCATCTCCTGCGTGAAGTGGTATAATAAGGGGAGCAATATTGAGGTTAGGCATCGAGTTCTATGTAAGGCGGGGAAATAAATAGACGAGACTGTGAAATTACATCGACTGAGATGGTTAGGACATGTGCTACGTATGCCTATCCATCGATCGCCTTCCTCGACGGGCAATGTTAGCTGATATAGGGTCAGGCTGGAAAAGAGCTAGCGGTGGTCAAACGAAAACATGGCACCAGTCAATGAAATCCACAACAGTTAGTCTAAGCCACGTAGGAAGGTGTAGACTTCCTGGTTGGGGTCCTCGCGACGGTAAAAACCAATGGTTGAGAACAATTGGTGACATGGCTCAAAATCGTTCTCAATGGCTGGTGCAGATGCATCCACTCCTTGTGACTCATGATTTCCAATGAAACTGTTTTGTTCTCCGTTATTACTATCCCTTTGTCTCACACCTCCGCTTACTTTCTCTAATATGCATTTCTCCTATTTTCTTCTCTTCCTTTGTGTGCTACATGGAGTGTGGCGACTTGAACTGCCGCACATATGTGCAAAGTTCTATGTCGAAAACCGACCGACCGAATTTCCTGGCCAAATTGCCATTGCATTACAAACAGCCTGTGACCAGTTCTATCTATGTCCAATCTATTACATAACTCATGAGTAATCAAAAAAGGAATCTTATTGTTGAAAATGTTTATCATTTTGTAAGTAAGTAAAACTGTAAAACCTCTTTCTTAATATCACATAGTGCATGTCTTTACTTATATTACAAAATCAACATTAGAAAAGATGAGGGAAAGAACAAAAAGAAAGAAAAATATATTAACAAATATAAACATCATATCAACTTGAAGATAAAAATAGTGAGTATTGATGTGCTTGTGTGTGTGTGTGTGTGTGCGTGGGTGGGTGCAACAATTTATGTTCTAATGGTAAATTTAAGCATATTGAATAATCGTCCACGAAATACACAAAAGCGTAGTAATGCATATAAACAAACTATGAAACAAATAAAATAAAAAACTGTTCTAAAAGCAAGGGGACAAATTGTATACGATATAGTCATTTCATTGTTTGAATTAAATGAACCTGCGAGATTCCGTGATATCCATGATCCTTTAACAAATAATAAACGATCTGAGAGTGGAACTTTTCGGATGTTTCTATCAAGTGATCTATGCTTCAGATAATTAATATTATTGCTACTATCATCTTCTAGTAATGGTGGAAGGGAACTGAAAAGCAAAAAAGGAGAGAAAAAAGTAGAGAGAAAATTCAGCAATAAACAATCGAATGGCACACAAAAATACAAACACTATGCAATAGAGTTAAATCATGCTGTTGTATTCCTGTCCTGAAGGAAGGGATTAGAGGATAAATATTTACTAACCGCCTTCAAAGGAGAACTGATATTGTCACAATTCCCCTAAGAAATGTCTACATTGGAATCAAACAATCCTCAAAAACTACGGTAAAATTCATTCTACCGTGTACAGACGACATTTCTGAAAAAAAACACAGCTAGAATACTAAAAAAAAACATTTGGAACAGATATAGCACATAAACCAACACAATCACTTCATTCAATACTATACAGATCAAAAGACGCAATAGCAAAAGAAGATCAACACCATATAGAAAGTAAACTACATGAACTGTGATAAGCAATGCATTGATTAAATATGAATTCCTTTCGACGCCGAATCCAAGAACATTAAACCAATTGTCAAAAGAGACATCTATTGTTTCATATCAATGCGTGTGAGAGTTATGGATACCAGCAAGGAGATAGATTTGATGTCAGAAAAAACAAATGATATATCGTTGAGGAGATACATGGGAGACGTGAAAGGAACACGATGAGACACACTATGAAGGTCAGAAGTAGCACAACATGGAAGATTTGTGCAAATGGTGCGTTGAAGATAAGGTGTTCATAATTTGACTGTATAGATAAACTAGATTCCTATTAATCATTCTTTTACTAAGTCTCTCATCCTCTGCCGTGACATAGATTGTGGCGACTTGAACTGCCGCACATATGTGCAAAGTTCTATGTCGAAAACCAACCGACCTCTGCCGTGACAGTATTACTGGGAAAATGTAGAAATTTTACACAAAAGAAACAATAAAACCCAAGAAATCCGATTGAAGCTTAGTACTCAGACGAAACAGAGATTCACAGATACATTATTATAGATCAAACTTATCAAATAATAAAAAAGTCAAATTCCAAGTTGATTAAAAACGACCAATACTGATGCAAATTAACAATCGATCAAGACAAAGGTTGCTAGGAGATAAAATTATATTATTGATGGAGAATTCGAATAATTTCTCTTCATTATGAGGGTTGAGCTGAAGATGTCTAGAAGGACAGTGGTAGCATAGCAATTAAATCACCGAACTTTGAGAACACAACTACATCGAAATCATCCACCTGAGCTACAAATCTATATTATTTTAGATTATCAATACTTAAATGTTAGAATTAAGAGACCATCGATAGATTTTAAAGTAGATAGCGTCAAGAAGGAACACTAATTAGAATAGTTCTAAAGGCAGTAGGCTTCTTCAACTGTTTTTATTCACAACAAAACGACTCGTGGAATATGAAGTTATCGTTGTTTAGTAGTCTTTTGGCTATATGACATGAGACTTAAACTAAACACATTGACATATTAAGAAAGGGTTAAAAATACCCTTGTTAGCATTTTAATCTTGTTATTTATACTTATAACAGAGAATGTTCAACTGAATTTCAGTCGTGTCTTTATATTCAACCCTTCATTGAATCCGATTATTACTAAATCAGATATGAATAAAATTTTACCAAGAAAACGTTGAAAGTGTAGCTCTCTTATTCATAAAGTTGGATAAAGTAAGAATAAGAACTCTTGGTGGGGATCATGCATCTGTAGCGCTAAAAGAGTCCCAAAGTAAGAGGAAACAGCTATCCAGTGCTATATCTTTTCTGAGTTCTGCCCGCCATCATACTATGCTAGCTGGTTAGCGCCAGATAAAACGTCTCTTTACTCCAACTCCAATCATGATAATTGTTTAATTTTTTTCTCTCATCTAGACTTTCATTGTATCCAACCTCTTCTTAATGGTATTCATCTTTTTTGCAAATAATATAATCATTTTATCACTGATCCACTATTGAACACAGTATTCACTGTGTTTATCCACCTTTTTTTTAAAATTTAGTTTTTTAGCATTCTACTTCTATTTTGTTTGTCACCTATTCCAGTCTGTATGTTTTCTAACGTCAATTTTATCACGGATTCGACATCAGTTACAGAATCATTTATTAACTAAGAAGTACTGGGCAGCTGTTTTTCATTTCAGTTAGAGACTATTTAGTAGTGCACATAAATGACTCCACCAAGGATTGTTTTCAAGAATTTCAGCTCACGAGGCCAGCCCGTTAACCATTCTCATCCAATGGACTATAGTTTAGTAACCCATGAATTTTAAGTTGTGTTAATTAATTCACGATACAGCAATGCTGCCAACCAATGATGTGGATAAGCATCCACTATACCCTGATATGTTTGACTCCACCGATTACAACTTCTCACTAACTGGCTGCATTCCTACTTCTCTAACAGAATGCAGTACACCGTATACAAAGGTAAATCATCCTCTGCTGTACTCACTGAAGCCGGAGTCCCCCAAGGCGCTGTACTCTCCCCACTTCTCTTTTCTTTCTTTCTACATGACTTACCATCTTCAAATGACATTAATTTTGTCAAATATGCTGACGATCTGACTGTATCTTTGCCTGTCAAATGTCAAAGCGACTGCTCTAAACTTAATAGCTTTCTGTCAGAAATCAGCCAGTGGTCCAAGAAAAATGGTCTTACCCTTAACCCCTCCAAATGCCAAACAGTCAATTTCAACTTTAGGCATAAATCCGACCTAAACAAACTGGTTGGCTCTCACGAGGTATGCAACATGGACGGCACTGAAATAGAAACCAAATCGGAAATTAAATACCTAGGCGTCATTCTATCTCTCCTGGTCGTCTCATATCCTAGGAATTTCTAAGAAAATATTCCGTCTTACCTTCTACATCAAGAAGTTAAATCATTCTGGTATAACCCAACCCTTACGCCTACAATTCGTTAATTCTCGCATCCTGCCTATTATTCTCTATTATTCCCCCTTAGTTTTTCTCGGGCTACTGAAGAAAGACTATAACATATTACGCAGGATGTTAAAGGTTGTCAGCAGGGTAAGCAACGTGCCACTTAACCAGCTTGTTAATATTCTGGTCAACAGGCACATGGACTCATGTGAAAAATGGGCCAAGTCCATTTTATCTAACTCACACCACCCTCTTGACTCACAACTCTCCCCCTGCATCTCATCAGGTAAAACCAGAAGCCTATATAGAAAACTATATGCTCGCACCAGCAAGTACAAAAACTCAACCATACCCTACTTAGCTCGTGTTCTGTGTGATAAAGAAAGCATTAGGCGTGACACCTATAATTCATTAAATAGTCAGTAGAACAATTGGATCTCGTCTTTCTAATTCATATCATTTATAGGTACAACGTTTTCTTTCTTTCTTTTCATTTTCCCTTTCTCTCTTTTTCCCCGTTAAGTGCTGCTTTGTTTTTTCCTCTCGCTTACGCCAGTAAATATGACAGCTCCCACTTATCTAACACCTTCAAACACTCTTCAGCTTTCCTTTGCTACCGATATGCCAATGTGTTGTTGTAATAATGAACTGTGATTTCCTTAATCTATGTAGAATTCTATTTATTGATAATGTACTAACTGGATGCAATACTGTAGTAAAAATGCTGAGACTTCCATTCTGTATCACATGTACTGTTTTGGAATAAAGCAAATTATTATTATTATTATTATTAGAATATCCTATCTAGTAGTCATTAATGAGCTGGAGAATGATATTTAGACTTTTGAGTTTTCCAAGGAGTTTGATTGATCTTGATATGTATTTCTGTACAAACAGACATCAGTTAAAGAATCATTACGAATCGAGGAGCATTGGAAAGATGTTTTGTTCTACTTGTGTACTTGTTGTGTGCGCTTGTGTAATAGTACTACCACCAATAACATTAGTGTTCTTTTTGCTAGTGTTTATGACTTTTACAGAAATTTCCACCATGATGCTTACGTAATCATTACAGCAGAGTCCTTAGGGTATATTTTCAGTGTGAAATTGTAAACTTTTATGTGAAATTTTTATGAAGTATTACAAGAGAAATAAAAAGTTATCATATTTAGAAATACACACTTCCAGTGGCATGATTTTCACACTTATTTATTGGACATTGAGTAGAAGATGCCTTATTTTTGTACACTTAAATCAAAAAAGGAAACAAATACGGATTTGCATACTTACTCAAATTGTTTTGTCAAAAGAACTTTCTGTGTGATAGCAAATAAATCCATCAAATATCCATCTGCAGAGAGTGTGTATTTAGGAATAAAAAATTCTCTCAAATACAAGCTTAATACAGCTGTAGCCACAGAAGTCATATGTGATAGGCAACCATCTATGAAATATGGAATAAAATACAGTACACTGTATAAAAAGAACATAGCAACGAAGAAAAGAAAACAGTTCAAAATTTATTGGCTTAGGCAGTCGTCAGTCATTCACTTCAGGCAGTAATGACTACTAGCACGTTCGAGGTCTGGCTTATCAGCTGTTTACCAGGTTAGACTCAGATCAAAGATATCAATCGTTTCGAATCATTTGAATTCGAATGGTTTAGATCCAGTTTTTTTCTTCTTCTTTCACTCCTTTGCATTCCGAGTGGGATAGAGAGCTTCAAGCTTCAGCTTTGAAGTTTCAGTAGCGCTGGTGGCTTTTTTCAAGGGTGGGCATGCTAGCTGACTTCACAACCAACCGTCCCTTTTTTACCAGGCTTACCACTACTGGACTAGTAAACTAGACGAGACTTAATACTGTGTCTGTAACGACAGAAGGCAAGAGTCAGGCAACAGATCATTTATTAAGGAAATCAACGCATATTTATATATGTTTTCATGTACATTACTATGGATACGTAAACAAACAAACACAGTCTTCCGATTGGTTGTTTCTCACGACAAATCTTGGGAACGTAAATATTGGCGTAAATTACTGTCTACCAATTTGGCTAGTAGACAGCTCTCACCACATGTCAACTGGAAACTGAATGCCCGATCACGTTTGTGGTTAGTGAGCATTCCATTCTATTCTTGAACAACCAACGTAGATTCACTGTTTAGATTACTTTAATCTAACTAGCAGGTCCTACTATGTGATATGACTTGTTTCCACCTACTCAGTATCAATTAGCAGTATATACACCATCATGATATAATGCTTATTTCCTTCACCATCACCTATGGTATCAACCAGATCATAATATATGATCTGAATACTTTGAGCTTCCAAAGAAAACTGTGGTGAATAGTCACACCCTTGACTGTACAATAATCCAAATGATATATTTAATACGAAACCATCATTACTACAATGGGATAGATACTATGAAAAGTAAATAGTATATTTTTTAACCGATATTATCAGCACACTTGACTGTTTAATTTCTTGTATGATTTATGATTCAAGTTCCAGGGACAAATACAACTAACCAGTATATTATTATTATTGTTTCCTTTAATTCCTAGAGGAACATAGGGCTTCAGCCGTGCGTCTCCATTGCGTTCGGTTCTCTGCTAGAGTCTTTACCTGGCTCCAAGTCTGCCCACACGTTTTCATCTCCTCTTCACATGACCTCCTCCAAGTCACCCTCACACTGACGACCAACTCGCCGGTTCCCTTCCGGGTTCCACTCGAGGGGTTGTCTAGTGATGTCACTTGATGGTTTCCTCAAAGTATGGCCAATCCATCTCACGACCGATAGCTGCTACCTTGACGTGGTGGCCGGGCTTGCATATCGCAATGACCCAACGAGCTACACTGTCTGGAACTTATGTTCCTGTAGGTCCTACCATACCAGAAAGGTTGTTTGGATAGCGGTTAGACCAAAAGCAGCTGCCCAATCCAATGCTATGATTCAAACAAACTCACAAAATATCATGTCGGATCGGTTGGGGCCCGGATTAACAAAGACCGCGCTTCCTGCTGCTGTGTCACAGGGCAGAAGTGATAAATATGCTACTGAGACACACCAAACAAGAAAGAACAAACAAAAACAGGCCGCGTGTGACCGGCCTCAAGCAGTTGTCCCCTGGGCTCTGCGGTCACGCAACTAACCAGTGTTTATTACTTAAAACTGCTGCAGAAATTAGGTCGTCATTCTTCATACAGCATAAATTAATCTGTTTAGTACTTTTCCTGTTGTGAGATTTTCTGAGCTTATTAGAGATATATTACATGATTGTTATTCTTACAAATATTAAGCAATTCATTGGGATTAATTAGCGTGTTATTCAGCATAATAATGATTGTTATGACTGAGCCACTCTTTTTACTGTTATGCTTTCAATATAATCTATTTGTAGGGAAAATCATAGTTTTTGTTCAGTGAAGAAATATTTCTTTTCAACGACTTCATTTTCAAGCTGTACAGTTGTATTTATATTTCAGAAAAAGGCATTAAGTGGCACTGTGTTTTTGCTAATGAATTAGTGGGTAATCTATTTGGTCGAAAGTTTGTATACTGTTTCAAGTGTTACCTTGTTTTAATATTGTATCTCAGCACGGATAGAGGAGGCTCGTCTGGCATATGGGAATTCACGTCATCTCTGGCGTAGACGTGATATCCGGCTGGCTGTTGACCAAAGGGCGTGTGTACTGCTCAGCAGTTCACTCCGTCCTCTTTTATGGCTATTGGTGTGACATGACCATTGAAAGTGGAAGACATGAAAAGCCTGGATACCTATCTTTGATCATAGGTGTCTGCTTTCTATCTCCCGTGTTAATTGGTATAATAAGGTGAGTAATATTGAGGTTAGGCATTGGTTGAGTGTTAGGTAAGGAGGGGAAATCAATCGATAAGGTTGTGAAGTTACACCGACTGAGATAGTTAAACATGCGTTACGCATACCTAGACATAATATTCGTCTACGGGTAATGTTAGTTGACATGGGATGGATCAGGTTGGAAAAGAGCTATTGGTGGTCACACCAAAACATTGGAATGAGTCAATGAAATTCAAAATAGTTTAAGCCATGTGGGAAGGTGTACACTTCCTGTTAGAGGTCCACGGGATGGTAAAACCCAATGGCTGGAGACAATTGGTGATATGGCTGAAAATCTTTCTCAACGGCTGGCAAAGATGCATGCACTCTTTGTGATATATAATGCTTAATAAAACTATATTGTTCTTCGATATTACTATTCATTTTGCTTTATATAGGTCGTTCGACGCGCACCCTGTCCAAGAGAATTCAAGAACACTACCCAGCATGGTTGCGAAAAGGCAATAATGCTGCAATAAGGAGTGCCATAATTGAACACCTAGTTAACACTGATCATTCCATTTTAACAAACGCCTCCTTCAAAGAAATCTACAGAGTCAAGAATAACCTACCAAAGGGAATACGGTATCGTCTTCTTTGTATCGCTGAAGCTCTGGCCATTCACATAGAAAAACCGGAGCTGCGCATACAAAAGAGAATTACTCAAACACTTCTACTATCATGGTAACAACTTTGTTGGTTTTTGATGACTTAATTTTCTTTGTTTACCTGTTTCTTTAATTGCTTATAATTCTTGCATTCCTTTAGAATTCTTACGTAATTTCGTATTCTCTTCTTTGTTCCTATGTGTATCCTGAGTTAAACTCAATCATCAAATTATTCATATTATTACATAACTTCTTTTTAACAACTTTTTGTGACAACTCATCACCTTTGTTACAACCCTAATTTCATTAACGCCCAATTTTCTTGACCGATTGTGTATTACGTAACTCCAATTAGTAATCTTCACCTGTTTAGTTAAAATAACCACAACCAACTGTATTTTTGAATAAGGCATTTAGGAGACAAGTTTCGCGAGATGATATTATTTCGTAGTTTCTTTACAACCGCTTTACAACTAACATAGTTAACAATAATAAAATAAAGATCATGACAATTACTCAGTTAAATAAAAAACAAAAGTACATACTGATGACCAATCATATTTAGATGGGTCATGTGGTCTATGGTAGGCGTGTGTGCTAGTTAACTTATTCAGACAAGCTCTTATTAAAAATCACAACATAAAGTGATTGAATCAAATTTCCTTTAAATACAAAATAAAGAAGTGAAATGCATACCTTTATGTCTACGTTCAGCAAGAGGTTGGCGCATAGAAAAGATAATTTTAGTAGTGTTTACTGTATTCTCATTGGAGCTATATGTTGAGGCACTAAAACATCCAGATGGTTGTTGCCATGACAAAATCTCATTGAGTACAGAAAGTTGAATAAATCTTCCATAACCAAGACTGCCACAGACAAAAACTGAAATCAATATTAAATAATATTCACAGTCACATTAATTACTACTTAATGAAGGCATAATGGTAATAATTAATAGAAATTTTAATAAGTAAGAGTGGATAATAAATTTCTATTAACCTGTACAATATTTGTAGATACACTGCTTAAAAACTTGGGCTACCGAAAACCTTCATCAGTATATTGCAAATAGTAGTTTCTCTTATTCATTTTGTTTAAGTCTAATAAAATATGACCTCTGATAATGTTGTTTACACTAGAGAGTGTTTAAAAGATTTACAACCTGCTAATTCACACGTTTCTATTGAACATGACAATAAGCATTATCTTCAGCAGTACGCACTCACCGGGATTCGAACACAGGACCTTCTGGATCGGGTCCCAGTGGCTCAATGGTCTACGAGCTCGCCTTGTAACCGGGTTCGAATCCCAGTGGGTGCGTACTGATGAAGAGTCCCAAACTAGGACGAAACAGTTGTCCAGCACTCCCAGGTTTTCCAGTGGTTCTCTAACTGATGTCAGCTCGTGATGAAATCCTCCATGCAATCAAACAAAAAAACAAAAAATCCCTACAAAACCAATGCTTGAAAATAAGCATTATCCTCGATGGCAGCTTATCCAAGTACATGAGATGATTGTTCCTGAGTGCTGCTATTGGATCACAAAATGGACTCGTAAACTTTTTACAATTGGCATTTAACAAAATATCGTGTACATCTCGAAGGGGATAAAGAAGAGATAGCATAATGAATAGGTTTGCGCTTCCGGTTAGATAACATTGTGTCACACGATCTACTTGTCAATTAGTCTTTTATTTGAAGATCTTTGACGAAGAGAAAATATCAAGTATTAAACTCCGCTGAAAATTCTGTACATTATATAAACATTGTTCAGAATAAAGCTATTATTATTATTATTATTATAAGATAAAGCCCATTGTTCAAGGGGTCGTATTTGTAGCAGCGTTTTGGCACTTGAAACAAATGACGTTGGGTTTGAGTCTCAATGAAGATATCATCACGGACTTAGGAGGCAGGTGCAGCTTGGGTTCTACAGTTGACCATCATCAATCAAAGTTAAACAACTGAAGTTTACCTTTATAAAGCTGATTTTAATTAGCTCACAAGATATATCTTATGTTTGTATTCCAAAGAAGAATTTTCCCTACAGAAAAAGGTAATAATTTGGTATTTAATTGTTGGTATGTGGGGATTTGATTGGTCACAGGATTTTCATCATGAACTGACATTAGTTAGAGAACCATTGGAAAACCTGGAAGTACTGGACAGCTGTTTCGTCCTAGTTTGGGGCTCTTCAGCGGTACGCACCCATCGGGATTCGAACCCAGAACCTTCTGGTTACAAGGCGAGCTCGTAGACCATTGAGCCACTGGGACCCGATCCAATGGCCCATGAATTCTAACTTCTCCCAGTGGTTCTCAAACTATTATTATTATTCTTATTACTACTACTATTATTATTATTAATATCATTATTACTATTACTATTCTCACTCTGAATCTTTTCCACTTGACCCACTTGACATTTTAAAACCAAAATTATTAATTTTTATTTTTACAATATTGAATTCTAACTTATCAAATTTCACGCCATGTTATGTAACATTTTATATTCGTCTAATGATCTTATAATTATGTACCCCTTTCCAAAATCCATACACCTTATGTATTATTCTATATACGACATTAATTATTTTTGCCACTTGACATTAAACTATGATTATAATCACAAATATTTTAATTGCATTTCATACTATTATTATTTCATGTATTCACACCTTGACCTAATTCCCTCACCAGATATTATTTTTATAAAAAAACCATATATATACGATTGTACAGCTTGATAATAAATTCGTTGAAAATAGTCTCTTCGCTGAATATTGTGTTGTTAATGCTACAATGGGAATTATTAAATTAATATTTAATGGTAAAGAAAAATGATATTAATGGAGCAGAATAAGTGAGAATACTTCCATTTGTAGGCCACACTTGAGTGACTTAAGGGTTGATCTAAAAACTAGGAAACAAAAAACTTGGATGGTAAATGAATTCGCCTGGCATTAATTAATGAGCTAGAAATCGTAATGTTGTGCAATGAATGTGACACTGATACATCAATAAATTTATTTATAGTACTATTACGACCGATCATGAATCATGGGGAATATACAAATCTTGATGACTATCAACTCTACTTTAAATACTCTAATTATTAAGTTCTATCAATGAGTCTGTAGATAAAATTATTATACTTTCTAACTGGTTAGTCAGTTTTATTAATAAATTTAAATAAACTGAACTCCATTAAATAGCTTGAATAAAACTTACTTTGTTCAAGTACTATATCCTGGTAGGAAGGTTTTGTTCTCACATAAGAGAATGAATTTACAAGATCTTGATATAAGACTAAACACAGTTGATTTTTCAACTCCTCGAAATTAACAGAAAGAGCAGATAACATATTAGCCAAAGAATCAGTACAATTAACCTGCTGATTAAATCATATATATATTAATCAAATTACTTGAAATGTAATCAGGATGTACAGAATTTGATGAGCTAATTCGTATCCATGAGATTTAAAGTTCAATAGCTTGGTGACGCAATCCATTGGAAGAATACAATTTATACTTTCTGGACGTCTTGATTTTAATAGTTGGCTGATACATTTATCACTTGTAATATGCTTTGATTTTTGTGTATTAATTGTGTTTGAAATCACTAAGTTTGATTTATACAATATATTTTCATTGGGAAATATCCAATCCAATGATAAAAGTTTACCCATTTCAATGAAATACGGGTCTTTCGTATCATTCAAAAAAGTAATGCTTTTTGAAATTATTGTTTCAACTGTTTGAAGTTGTGTTTGAAATTTTTGACCTAAATCTCTCCAGGAAGATGGTTTTTCTCTATCATAATTGTTCAGAAAATTATTGACAATGCTTTCAAGTGCACCTGAAGGTTTTATGGTAAGCTGACTTACCTTTCAATGGAATTAAACCGAATATTCCGTCAAAATTGAACTCTTCATTGTGTTGTTCATAGTAGGAAATCACTTTTTCTGTAGATGTTAGCAGTGCATCAAGCTTTTCACCAACAGGATTGTATCCTGATACTAAATGAACAATACACAACACGTGAATGATTTTCAAGAAAATACTGTCCATCTCTATTCTCTGAAGATCAACAGTTCAATAGAGACAGAGTGAGATAACTGCAGACCAACTGAATGACTAACAGTTTTGGAGGTTTGACCTGAAAGTAAAAACAAAATGAGCGTATTTTACAACTTTGGACTGTTCTAAATACCCGTACATGCAGTACTTTTAATCAGTTACTGTTCAACACTACCAAATTCATTGGAAATAAGGATAATATTTTGATAGCTAACCTTTAGCTGATCGATACGGTCATCGTATCCGTTGAAATAATCAATCGGAATCAATCGTTACGCTTATTTTTGGAATGTAGAGGAACAAAATTTACAGAGGGAAAGGATTATAAGAGCAAACATCCTTACTTAGAGAGCCTTTTCAATGCACAGGAAGAATAAATGCAAGTCATAAATACAAGCGCATTAGATAATATTGTGCCCAAAGACGTTATACACCTATAAACTATAGCTTTGTTATCCTATATAGCTTTACGGATTTCTTTCTGAAAGAATGGAAGTAGGGAGTAACATAGTATTGTTATTGTTGAAGTACAAGGTATTATCAAAAAGTGCAATTCTATTATGGGTAAATTTTGTTTGGATAAAGTCTCACAGTGTTATACAGTAATGTTTACTGATGACGTTTTGAGCACAATTTATTGCTCATAATCATATCAAGGTCACCTATCACTTTATTAAGCCATGAGAATTGGTTGAAAAATCTGACCAAACTATCAATTCGATGTCTACAAACAATGAAGGAAACTATATGAGAATAGATAAGGCCAGCCAGTCTCATTGCTGACAGTAATGACTACACCTTACTTGATATTAAGCTGTATACACGATTTCTAACCTATTTCATTTTGTTAAGAATTAAGCAGTTTTTTGTGGAGACTCATGTACAAAAGTTCGGTGTATCTTATTCTTGGATAAAGCAGCTGAATATATCGAATGACAACGTTGGTTAGCCCCAACAGTGGCTGAATTTGTCTTGAAATCACTATCATCATTGGTTGAAAAGTAGTAACAGCGTCGTCTAATGAATAATATCATAGAGAAATGTGTGAAAACTGGAACAATATGATTGTACAGTTTTTTGTTAGATGTTTAAAACGATTCATTGCAAGATACAGATAACTTCGGAGTACAGTCTAAAATACAGTGTGCTGCTCGAAGCTTCACCTTCTCACTACTCCATACTATCTATTTGGTTTATTACTAACCATGTTGTATACTTCTGACTTTGCAGAAACCTCTCGCCCTCATCCGAAGACTGTTCTACAACCGGTACACAGCTTCTACTAGTAGACACGACTCCAGCAGTGACCACTTTGGTGGATTATATTATTAATTTGTAGCGGCGGACTTTAACTGTTTAACCAAGTAACCATCAATTTACACAACTCAATAACTGTAATTTTTATGGTACACTGTTACACTATCATTTCATTAAGTTGGACTTTTATTCTAATATTTGTTCTGTTACCGAGCTCACTATAAAGTCCCCCACAAATGAAACAGGAGAGAGATCAGTTGTTCCTGTTAAAATGGGATCACTTTTCTCTAATAAAAAAGTTTATGATGTAGTTTGAAAAACCATGGAAAGGTTAAAACTACATGGTTTTTCCTTAATATTGGATTACTGGTTATCATATCACTCAAATAACATCGAATTAGTGGATTTTACAATTAAGATTTCTAATATCTATTACAATTAAGTACATTATTGTTGTTTGATGTAAATACCAACGCTTGAAGCTAATTTCGAAGTGTTTCAGTTTTTTTAAGGAAAATTTACTGTTGTCCACGGCTTTCGGATTTAGGGTGATCCTTTCAATAAACATCAAGTACAACATGGCACCAGTCAATGAAATCTACAACAGTTAGTCTAAGCAACGTAGGAAGGTGTAGACTTCATGGTTGGGGTCCTCGGGACAGTAAAAACCAATGGTTGGAAACAATTGGTGATATGGCTTAAAATCGTTTTCATTGGCGCAGATGCATCCACTCCTTGTGACTCATGATTTCCAATGAAACTGTTTTGTTCTTCGTTATTACTATTCCTTTCTCTCACACCTCTGTTTACTGTCTATATTATGCATTTCTCCTACTTTTGTGGAGTGCGTAACAATGTGATTGTACACTTTTTGGTTATTTGTAGAAATTAGACATACTGTACATAATTTTTGTTTAAAACGCTTCTGGTTGAAGTACCCTTGGATTCCGTGTACGATTGGAAAATACACTCTGCTATTGAAAACTTCGTCTTCTCCTTGGTTTCTTCGGCTTACTAGCTCAGTTCTCACCGTGTTGTATCTTTCGGATTTATTGCAGAAGTCCACTACGCTCAACCGAAGACAATTCTACAACCGGGACACAGCAGCTACAACCTACTCCGTCCAAACAACTAACGTCTCCGTGGGTTATATAAATAATTTGTAGCAGAGGACTTCAACTTTATTTCCAAGTAACCCTTTTGTTGATATAACGTGTCGTTGCATTTTTGGTAATATACTGTTACTTAACATTCCATTGACTTGAATTTTATTTCTCATATTTTGTAATACTAGTGAACTCTAACATAAGTCCCCTACACTTTCTTCTCTTGCTTTGTGTGCTACATGGAGTGTGGCGACTTGAACTGCCGCACATATGTGCAAAGTTATATGTCGAAAACCGACCGACCGACATCAAGTACAGGATTCAAAACTGACCATGATTACACTAAATCTGCTGCAAATAAACCATTACTTGTGTCAATGACTGGTCGGTATGCAAGACTGACCAAAACACTAACCTAGGAAGTTTTCGGTCGAGCTGTTGTATGGGTTACTTTGAGGTGTAATGAGCCTTACTAATTGACAGCTGAAATAGACTCAGGTCAGAAGGCGAAATATATGTTTATGCTAATTTTTGTTTCTTAGATAGTACCAAGAAACGAAGCAAGAGATGGTTTGTAGGCTGGAAATATATCATTGCGCTGAAGGTCCTTGAGTTTTAATAATTAGAAGACAGATGCTTCTTAGCTGATATGCACTAAACACGTAAGCGTAAGACTGAGTTGGTGGTGTGCTACTCAAGACGCGTGACTAAACTATAGCAGCACAAAACGAAACTACCTCTAGCGACTAATCATATTCGTAAGAAGTAGAAGTGCACAATTTGAAATAAACGTCTATATACAATAATACAATGCTAAAAATGGCTGCATAGGATAATTTTCTTGTATATGTTCTAAAAAAGCCTCCCAATTTCTCATGGGATTCCTCATAGTCAGGTTAAATCAATTTCTCTAAATAAATTCGTCAAGGTTATCAATCCATTCATTAGGTAGTTTCGTTTTGGGCTTCTATAGTTTGGAGTCACCCTCAAGACTTTTCTAACCGTTAAATATGGAAAATACGTATAGTAATATATTCAACACAAAAATCCTGTTATCTGAAGTTAGCCATCACATTGTGCACTTGGAAGACAAAGAACAACTAGACTAGCTCACGGAAGTAGTCGCTTAATAATCCAACCTAAAAATACTCTATTTTATTCACTGTACGCAAAGTGCATCAGTTCAACTGCAAGGGAAAGATAATTAGTGAAAACAGATTAGACGAAGATGGACGAGTAAGGGGATAATTAGATACACATTAGTGAAAGTTTTCATAATCAAGGTTATATTAGAAAGTGAATACATCTGCACCACTGCGATATGCTTTCAGCTATTTGATCGATTTTTAGCATCTGAATGACTCTATTCAGGCAGCTTACGTTGCATGTTCAAATCTCTGGTATGCTGTCGTGCTACCATAATTGAAACTTGCAGACTAAAGGATACAGTAATCTATTTACCCCCCGACAGGCGCTAAATAAAGGAAGTCACTAGATATGATAAAACGATGTCAAAAAATTTTAAGAGGATATTCTTAGGCTTGATCCTATACACAGACGACTTTGCCAACTATGAAACATGCCAAAGACGTTGCCTTTGATACTTATCACACTTTAAATCCAAAGAACAGTATAGCATAAAAACTCTAAGCTTGATCTGCCATATCTTCTGAGATGACTTCCCCTCATCCATCGACGGCTGGATCCATTGTCACAAGAACTCCTAATAAGGACATAAAAAGTCACGAATTTTTATCAAGGCCCCTAACAATGCCATCTCACCAATCCTTAGAAGAAGTGTAAAACTATTGGGAAAAGTTCAGTCTAAAACGTAGAGTGATTCTCTTAACCAACACTGACTAGTAGAGGTCCAAACACTGCCTACAAGAATGAAAGCAACCAGAGTCACTCAAATAAGCTAAACCTTGAAGTAATCCATTATGCACTTTATTTTATCTACCTGATGAATATTAATTAGGTGAACTTCTGCCTATTCTCAAACATTTTGCGTTATACTATCTCTTGGAGACGACGAGATGAAATTAACAAGAGATCAAATACCAAAGATACTTCTTTATGGTGCGGACTTCTTTTGGGGGCCCTATCTGAGAAGTCATCATCGAAAGAAGTGTGGAATTCACCTCAATTGAGCATCAAAAGCAACAATTGTCAGGAAAACTCGTCCCATCAAAACCAGACTTCGTTTAAAAAAAAGAAATCAAAATTCCGGCAAAATGCAACACATACCTGAAGGACACCAGAAAGACGAACGCATATATATATATATATATATATATATATATATATATATAAGCAATATACTATCGACAGAATCGATGATGCCAATATCTAACCCATAGTTAGTCATTTTAAGTAAGAATCGATAATCACCCTACTCCTACCGGGATGCCAAGTTTAATCTAATTTCTAGCCGTTATGCTGTCCAGAATCAGTATTAAAATGTGAACTGACAATTTCATCCCTGGTTCTGTCAGACTACTCAAATGTTTCTTCGTATTCTCTGAACTCGTTCATTTTAAGACCAGGATCTGACTAGAAATTAGTCGAAAATTCTTTTACTTCGCCCTAAAACAGTAAATAAATGAACATACGTAGTCCAACACAATTAGGCTAATCGCCCATTGATTGTAACTGGCGCCTTTTACTTTTGCTTTGGTAACAAAAGAATGTTACTTTATATAAAAATTTTTAATTAAGATTTTTGGTTCTAGAAAGAACACTCCCACTCCTTCATATGCACTTATGTAAATTTTATTTCACAGATGTATGTACATCCCAGTGAACATATCACTTCCAATATCCAATATCCATTGTCGTTTTAACGAGCTAGTATTAACCAATTTGATTTGTTTGTGCTCGCCTCTTGATTGTGAGGTATAGGTTCCTGATCTTCAGTAAACTTCTGCGTAGCTCGTCCCGCCACTTGACTGTCGTAGTTTTGGTTGACTCCTAAAGGAGTAGTGCAGGGATTAATTATATGTGGCTTGTAGTATGAAGTGTGTTAAGACTGTTACTACTGTTAATGGAGTTGATCCTTTCAC